TTCAGGGTAAATTTAATAATGTTTTCATGCGATTCTTATTGAATATTTTCTGAGTATTTTAATATAAATATATATGTTATGATGAAATGATAATTTTTGCGATAAAATCTTGCGACTATTTTATTATCAATTATTATGACATCTGTAGTTTATTCGGATTTATTATTATATATGATGAAAAATTGTTGAGCGTTGCCTAGTGCTTAAAATATATTTACTTGATAGGCCAGGACCGAAATGGTTTGTAAACTGGTCAAAATGTTGGACGGGCCAGACTAATTCCTGTCCATTGTAGAGCTGAGACGGGCTTCGAAACTAAAGCCCACGCAGAGTTCTAATATGATTAATGTAAAAAACCCAGCACAGTGGGGTCGCAGCACAGTGGTGACGTGGCAAAGTTGGGTCAAGTATAATGATATCGGACAGTGATTAAAATCACTGTCCGATATCATAAAAAACACTTTGATACAATTTTGTAGATAATGTTTAATTTCAAAAAATTGGTGGATTATTCCAAAAGCTACATGATCTCCTATTTCCTTATTTATATCGTGATTAAGATAAAGTATGTCAAATGAAAAAGGGATTATTCAAAAATATTATCTTTCATAAAAAAATTGTATTAATACATACATTTTTCAAAAAATATGAGCGATATAAAGTTAAAAATGTAAAGTATAAAATCGAGTTTTAACACAAAAATAGCATACGCTAGCCATTTTCACCGTGACGACAAAATAAAGTTCCAATCTTTTTTTTCATAATAAAGTATATTACATTAGCTTTAATTTGAGATATATATAAAAGTGTCAACTTTCCGGAAAACATTCAAAAGTTAATTTTTTGTGAAAAAGTTATCATTTTGAATCCCTATAATTATTTTAAATAGTCCTAATTTGATTTTCATTGTTATTAAATTGCTAAAAAATATTGAGATGATAAAAATCGTTAAATTTTGTCTAATATTATTTAAAATTTAACATAACAAAAACAATGTATGAGAAAATCATATATTAGCTAGTAGAAGTTTTCAAAACTTTTATGAACATCGATATCCATTCAATTTTTGGATATTTTATCGCAATGTAAAAAATAATTTGATGTTAAAATTATGGATATCGCGATAAGTCGATTATCGATATTTTCCAGTTTCAATAATTAAATAATTAGTAATCGAGATATTCTCATATTCGAAACAATCGAATTTAAATTTCATCAATTCTTCTATAAAAATAAAAATAATCGATCATATATATGTTTAATTATCTGAGATAATTGATATCAATTACTAAAAAATAAAAGTAATTGCTAATAATTTGTATTGATTTTTTATTTACTTAATTACAATATTTAAATTAATTAATCTAATGAAATGTTTAAATTAAGAAATCATATTAGAAATGTTAAAGAATAAATATATTAATTGTTTAACGCACATTAGAAAGTTTTATTAGAACATTAAGTGGTTTAGTGCTTAGAAATAGATGTATTCAAATTAAACAACTATTTTTTTCAAACTGATTGTCATAAAAAAATGAGTCAAAAATTAATAATTGAAATGGTCAATTGTGATAATCGAAATAATTTGATTATTTTCATTAGATTATCCCCTTACTACTACATTATTATAAGAGCGTCTAAATATTGGAATAAACCACGCGGAAATTTTCCATGTAAAATTTTAACTCAACATAAAATTCTATTTCTGACAAGCTAATTCAATTTGATATCGATAACATCACTACAATATCAATATCGAAATTTTACCAAAAAACTGCTGACATCGAAATTATATCAAAATTTTATCATTGTTGTCGATCTTTATTAGCTAGTAAATAAAAGTAAGGCAGACATCGTTTTGAGTAAGCATATAAAAACAACCCCACAGTGGATAAATATGATACAAGCAACAGGGACTCCGGAGTTAATAGTGTAGGCGTCTAGTATTATCGGGATACACAGCTCTCCCACTCTATTAAATGTAAGCTTATATACTCCCACAAGGTTTTGGACGTCATAGTTCTTGGACGCTGCCACCCTTTCTTTAGGTTAACATAGAAAAAAATCAATCCTTGTGTTCTAATACACTACATCATGATGAACAGAAATATTTTAACTAATTAATATTATATTTCAGTTTATTAGCTACTATGCGTAATAACTGAGAAAAGTTATTGGTTTTACTCTATCATGTATTGAAAAATCTGTACAATTATTAAAAATTGATACTTTTAAAATAAATACATTAATAGTGAAAAATAAGAATGTACTTCTCATTTATATTTATACCGTCCTATCCTTAGTATTAATATTTAAGTTATTTATAGTATAAATAACTTTACTTAGGCATATACCAGCAGTTGACAAGATTTCCTTTACAATAAATAACAAAACTAAGCCTTTAAGATTGAAATGCGGATTACGTTATTACATTATATTAGAAATATTGCCATTCTTACACAACTTAAGCAAAATTTAATTTAAACTAAGTGTGAATTGAGGCTCTTATAATGTAAGGGACAATACAAAGGAGTGTATGATGTTTTTTTAAGCTTGTGGCAATCATCTTCAAAAATTTTCTATTAATACCATGTAAAAAAAATACACTTTTAATGATTTTTAGTTTCTTAGCTACGCATCAAAGCCATTAATTTTACTCTATCGTCTTTTTTTTCTTACTTTTTATACTTAGTGACAGTATACACAAAATCTCCTCCTCATACTGAACCGATTTTGCTCAACGATACATCAAAAGAACACAAAATATTTCTAATTGAATCAATCATTGCCATGATTGTAATTTAAAAAAATTTCCATCAATCAAAAGGGAAATCCCCTTCAAAAATTACTCCGATACTTCGAATTAGTCCAAAATTTTTATAATACTTTAGAAGTTTGCCTTGCCGACGATATACTTTTTTAAAAATCTAATCATCAACCAAAGAATTGTGGAAGCATTAAAATCATATCAAAATTCTTTTTGGTATGATATAATGAAAAAAGAAAAAATATCCGAAATCTTAATTACTGTGAGCTATTAGCTAATTAGTCCAATAATCATAAAAATAACCGATTTCGTAATCTTTTGCATAACTACTGAATATCTACTTCATACAAAATTAAATAAAAAAATTTAGGTTTTTTTTTTATACTATAAGATTAAAAAGAAAGACGATTTTGTCTATGAGAAATCTGCGTCTAAATCGAAAATCAAGTAATTATTAATGGATATGTTAAATTATTTCAAATACGCATTAAAGCGTTTACGACAATGATTTTAATTATTATTTGATGACAATCAATACTAATCTAAAAAAAAAATGCCTCAACTCCGTTAAATCCTATTTGTACTTAACTTTTAAAATTTTATTTTATTTTTAACAACCTGTCGCTCAAAAAAAATGAAAGATATTTTTAATGTATTTTGATAAATATTTTTAATTTTAAAGAAAAAATGAATTAAAGCTAATATTATTAAGTAATACTGTAGCATTCATTTTTATTACCCGAAACTAGCTTTTTTTTTACAAACCTTCCATTAACAGGTAAAAATCGCGTCATTGGCATTTCATCATATAATTGAACATTTCCTGATATTATAAGTAACGAATAACTATGGTTAATAGTAATACCAGTTAATAAGACCAGATAAAATAAAATTCACTATTAAAGGTTCCTCTTATATCATTTTAATTAGCTAATAATAATATAGTTTGCTATATAAAATGTACATTCTTAAGATAGAATTTTCATATTATCTCGTCAAACCAATTCGGTTTCAATATGATTATTGTTTTGCAAACGTAACCCAGTTAAATATTTTTAAGTTGAATCAATTGTATATTTAATTTTTTTTTATTTGAAAAATCAATTAAAAGACTATCATCATAGTTATCACCATGAACAATGATTTAAAAAAAAAACGTGATTTATTGTCTTACATAGTTTTGAATATTTTAATTAAGGTCTACATTGAAATTACATTGAATAATCAATTTTAACAATTTAACCTATTATTAAAAATCAATAAAAAGGCGTTTTTTTTTATTGAAATTATTAAAATAACTAGTAAATTAAGTTATTTAGATACTTGTATACTTAGTCAAATTTTATTTTTAAAAGTAAAATATGTACTTAAACGAAGTACACAAAACAAATTACAAGTGCAATTAATAAATTCGTTTGGTTTTTTACATTTGATAAGGTGTTTTCATTCCTAGAAATGAAACATTAACTACTACTTTTGCATACGCCACAGCTAAGAATTTACGATTACACACTTGTATCAAAGCGATAAGGTATTGTGTACACAATAATAAAATTGTTTAACATACGGCTATTGTACAGTTTTAATTTAGATTTAACTATTTTGATAAGAGCCGAGATAAGAGATGAACAATAGTCTTACAACTGTAATGAGAAGCAGAAGACGTGACGATCAGCCTAATTCTTTTTTGACATTACACATTTTGTAATTACGCGACGGGAAACACCCGGCACCATCATATTTATTATCATCGAAAGGTTATGCAGGGTAGTAAAACAATACATTACATATGAAATGACATATATTTTGAATTAGAAAAAAGGGTGTTTTAAAGCAGATATAAATTTTTGAGAAATCCCAATGACTTTTCAAAGAGGTTTTTTCGTTAAAAGGTAAGCCCAATCAATTTTCTATAATCAACAATACCGACTTCTAATAATGAACCATGACGCGTATGTTAAATTATTACGCTACGGCCACGTACAGCTGGGAATGACGATGTCAGTAATTAATTAACAGTGAAGTAACTAGTCAAATATAATGTAAACCCTACCGAATGTCGACGATAATATCACAACAATAATGATTACGTTATTTACACAATTTAGAAAAGTAATTCAAAGAAGTGATAGGACAATATTTAACGAATCAATGTGAACTAATTGAAGGTAAAAAGTCAAATGCATTTTTAGGATAGATATTTATAAAATAGCTTTATTAAAAAATAACATACCTTAGAGTATGAAGCGCCGTAATCGTGAAAGTTCACCTATACAACAAAAAAATTATTCAACATTTTAAATTTAATTAAGTACATAAATAATATAATAAAAAATGGTTAACTTTTTAAAAATAAAAACACTATATTCAAATAATAAAAATAAATTTTGAACGTCGCCAATACCAGAGAAAGTGTGCGAACGATCCGACATAAACACACGCACGTTTGCAACTGATAACTGTTATACCTGCCTGGAGTGGGTAAACATAAGTGCCACCTCCAACATAACTAAACAGCTCCCCTTAATTCAGCGTGACTCCTCTATAAATATTACTAAATCAAACAAATTCTCAATTTCCATGTGTATTTTTCACATAAGTAGCGATTTCAATCAGGAATTGAATAAATTTGAAAATTTCAACTTAAAATTTCTTATAATTATATATTAATTTTTATAAACACAAACAGAAATTTTTTTTTTTTAGCTTCGATGAGAAGCTGACAAGGTATTAATTTTACCATGATGTGTTCTTTTTTTTTTGTGTATCTGTTGCCACTTTTTCTTAGCTCTTCTGGACCGATTTCTTTCAACAATACGTCAAAAGATTACAAATCGTATCTAGTTGAAGATATTACCCTCAAAAATTGAATAAATTTCCCTCGTTCCCCATTTACGGGGAAAATCTCCAAAAAAATTACAAATTTAATAATCATTAATTTTCGAAATTTTTTCAATTTTTTTTATAGATGCATCACCTATCATTTGATATATATTTTTTTATAAATCTGACCCTTTACCTGCCTACAGGGGGGATTCAAAATGACAACTTTTCACAAAAAATTAACTTTTGAATGTTTTCCGGAAAGTTGACACTTTTATATATATATCTCAAATTAAAGCTAATGTAATATACTTTATTATGAAAAAAAAGATTCGAACTTTATTTTGTCGTCACGGTGAAAATGGCTAGCGTATGCTATTTTTGTGTTAAAACCTCGATTTTATACTTTACATTTTAGCTTCGATGCGAAGCTGAGAAGGTATTGGTTTTACTATGATGTGTTTTTTTTTGTGTCTGTTACCACTTTTTCTCAACTCTCACCGAACGGATTTCTTTCAACGATACGTCAAAAGATCACAAATCGTATCTAGTCGAAGATATTACCCTCAAAAATTGAAAAAATTTCCCTCGTTCCCCGTAAATGGGGGAAACCTCCAAAAAAATTACAAATTTAAAAATCGCTAATTTTCGAAATTTTTTCAATTTTTTTTACTAAAAACTGCCGTAACTTTTTCAAAAATGAACATATCAATATAATTTTTTTTTTATAGATGCTTGATATCTTTGTCTATCATTTGGTATATATTTTTGTAAATCTGACACTTAAACTGCCCACAGGGGGGGATTTAAAATGACAACTTTTTCACAAAAAATTAACTTTTTTAACTTGACTTTTGAAAATGTTCAGGAAAGTCTGACACTTTTATATAAATCTTAAATTAAAGCTAATGTAATGTAATTTATTATGAAAAAAAAAAATTTGACCTCTGGACTTGTCTTCGTGGCGAAAATGGCTACCAAATGCTATTTTTGTGTGAAAATTCTCGATTTTATTTTTTACATTTTAAACTTTATAATGCTATAACTTATTGAAAAGTGTATGGATCAACATAATTTTTTTATGAGAAATAATATTTTTTAATAATCCCTTTTTCATTTGACATACTTTATCTTAATCAGGATATTAATAAGGAATTAACAGATCATGTAGCTTTTGGAATAATCCACCAAATTTTTAAAATTAAACACTATCTAAAGATTTGAATCGAAGCGTTTTATTTTGATAGTGATTTTAATCACTTTTTAAGTTCATACCTTATGTCTTGTAAGGATGTCAACTTTGTTTATTAAATGGAATCACATTTTTTTTTTTTTTATATCATTTTTAAATTATGCAAAAATCATTATAAATCAATAATATTAAATTTTAAGCCAGAAAAATGTATAATTAAAAAATTACATTTCCGACAGTCTCTCATAAAATTAATTTGTATAACATAGTCAAAAAATGCAAAAATTGTGTCAAAAGTTTTCAGTTAAATCGACGCCTTGTATATTCTACTCAAACTTACCTAAAACTCAAATATACTCATTTAAAACTTAGCCCTTACTCATAAGCTAATAAATTTCCTAGACGTCTCAAAAGAAAGTACCTACTTTATTTTTACTACATTAATTAATAGTAGTCATAAAGTGTCTCAAATATGAGATTACCTTTCATGTAAATAATTTATGTTAATTATTGTACATACTTATATAAAATGTATTAACTCAAATAAAGTTAATATTATTAAAAAATATAATCTTATTTATTTTGTTTCCACTGAATAATTTGTTTTTTAAAGTTACACCACTATTTTATTCTATACGATATATAACAGACAATTTAAGAAGCTAGAAATCAAAAAACAAAAAAATATTATAGTCAATTGTGTTTATTAGTGAAAAATTAACCCATAAATAATTTTTAGTTAATTTCGGAAGTCCAAAAAGTAATTTTGTTAGTTTTTCGTTCCTTCATATAAATATTTATTTTGTAACATAAACTACAAAAAAATGATTTTGATATATCTAGATTATAAAATATCTTTATACTTTTAAGACCAATTTTTAGAAACATCATTGAAATTTAAAACATTGAATCATCAGGGTTACTTCCTTTGCTACTAACAGGCGCGGTGGATCCTTAATGCACAGAATATCGTGCATCTACCAGACTGTTAATGAAAAGTGAAATACACAATTACTATTTTTAATACAACAGATTCAATTGATAAACTTAAGAGAGGAGAGGTCATTCCTCATTATTGGATCTCAGCCTAATCATTTATTTATGTAAGGTAAAAGCAATTATCAGTTCTCAGTTAAGAAAAGTTTGAATGTATTTTTGTTTTATAAAAATTAATATTAACAATAAATATAAAATTTAAAGTAATTACTACAGTTTTTTTGTTACCTAAGCTTATATAAAACAAAAAAATTGCTAAATTAAAAATTACTTGGAAATTAAAAAACTTAATTTAAATTAACAGATAATTTAGTAAGAAGAAATAACTAATTTATTGATTAGTGAATTAGGTAACAAGACATTGTTTTATTGTAGCTTAAAGTTACTTGAAAACTAAATTATCAGCCATAATATTTCGCTGATACTATATATAAAGTTATTAAGCCGTCCGTGAGTCTGTTTAAATGTCTTATATAAAGAGTGATCAATTAATCATAAACCACTCGATTACTCACAAAATAAGTACAATATTGTAAAAATATTTTTTATTCCTTTTAGTTACATATAAATCTGGATTTATTAGCTATTAATTACTTTTTACGATCATTCCTTATAATCAAAAGGGGTGTCAACTTAATTTTTTCATATAGTAACATACATATTTCATTAACTTATAAAATTAAAATTTATATAATTAAGAAAATAACTAATCGATAACAACTTTTGGACCAATAATTTAGATTATTCTCATTTTTATACAAAGGTGGGATGATGAGTACGGCTGGGAAATAACTAAATAAAAATAGTTTCACTCACTCTTCACCTCCAGTCATAAATATAAATTATTATTAACTTCTAAAATACTAGTTCAAAAGTTGTTATCGATCAGTCATTTTCTTAATTACCTCATTTTCTATTTTATAAGTTAGTTAAATATGTATATAGCTATTTGTCCAAAAACTGTTATTGACGAGTGATTTTCTTAATTAATGACGAGTATGATTTGGAAATGACTAAATTTTAAAATAGCAGCATACACTTCACACCACCGCATATTACTTTAAATTGTTAATAACTTCTAAAATACTGATCCAAAAATTGTATTTACAAATTATTTTCTTAATTACATAAAATACATTATTATCTATTAAATAAACTAGTTAATTATGTACGTTTCTAGTAAAAAAATTAAGATTAACACTCTTATAAATTATAAGGGATGATACTAAAAAGTAATTAATAAATGATAAATCATGCAATATATTTAACTAAAAAAAGCAAATTTTTTTTTCTATATTGTACTTATTTTGCGAGTAATCGAGTGGTTTATGATAATTCGATCATTTTTTGATTAAGGGTCGGTCCTAAAAGGTAGAACACACTAATGTCGTAAACATGTAATGGTAACTACGGAGATGGGTATTAATCTATCAACTCTTTTTCACCATGTGTTGGGTTCAATAGCTAATCCAGAATGGTGAATATTATACTAAGTTTCATTTTATTCTTGCAATATAAATAGCAAATAATAATAATTATTAATAATACCTTCAACTTAATGAATTTAACCTCACGATAAAATTTTTTTGAAATTATTAGTTACTAATTTATAATAACTTTTAAACTTATTATAATATGCATTTTGGTCTTATTTACACATTATAAAACATATTTCCCGAGTACGGTATTTGTCAATGTAATAGGTAAAACTAAAAAAAGTTCTTTTAAATAAGTTTTTGAGTAATCATTTTGTAGTAATAGTCTAATGGTTTTTACACGAAAATATATATACAAAGTAATTGTTTTATCATAAACTACTCAATTATTCTCAAAATAAATACAATATTGGAAAACAAATTTTTTTAATTATATATATTTTTTGATTTATTAGCTTTAAATTATAAAATTAAGAAATAACTGGTCGATAACAACTTATAGACCAATAATTTAGATTATTCTCATTTTTATACAAATGTGGGATGATGAGTACGGCTGGGAAATAACTAAATAAAAATAGTTTCACTCACTCTTCACCTCCAGTCATAAATATAAATTATTATTAACTTCTAAAATACTAGTTCAAAAGTTGTTATCGATCAGTCATTTTCTTAATTACCTCATTTTCTATTTTATAAGCTAGTTAAATATGTATGTTACTATTTGAAAAAAATAAAGTTGACACTCCTAAAAGTTAGAAGAGGATGATTCTAAAAAATAATTATTAGCTTTTAAATCGAGAAAATATGAACTAAAAAAAGCAAATTTATTTTTCAACATTGTACTTATTTCCATTGTGATTGTACATTTTGAACAGAAAATAGTAACTACTATTAAAGAGTAAAATTAGAGTTATCACAAAAAGCACAATAAGATATGAATTAAAAATTATACTTACGCTAGAATAGTGTGGATGCGCTGGTGGTCTAGGAGTAGCATAATATGTTGCAACTCCTCCTGCATGTTGCATAGGATGCATTACTGTTGCGACTTGCATTCAAAATAATTTGAGTAACTCTTCTAATCTATATAATTTAATAATAGATTATTAAAGAAATTTTAATTTTATGATTTTTTTATTTGGAATTAATATTTTTATAAATTAAAGATATGGTACAATATTAAAAGTATTTACTTGTAAGAATTTAAGTTAAAATAATTAAATAGGTTGTTTTAAAAACTACATCATTTAAAAAAAGCTCCTAAAAGTTATTAAAGTTTGTAAGTAAAAAAATTGCTAACTCCTGCTTAATAATTTTAGAGATTTAAATAACTTTTTAATATAATTTATCGTTTAAATAATCAAAAATTAGAACCAAAAATAAGCAAAAATGATCATTTTTAAGCAATTTGGCTAGTCAAGTATTAAGTTATACTTTACAAATTTGTGTTATTTTTTAGATTTTTGAAAAGTACATAAAAAATATTTAATTTTTATTTTAAATTTATACTCTTAACAATAATCGAGTCGGCCTAGCTTAGTGGGTAGAAATGTATGTTTCGGCACACGAGGTACCAAAGAGATTTTTCTTGTAATTTTTTCTTTGGTGGTATCTGTCTTTGTTGTATGCTGGCCATAATATCCGTCCTGCTTATCATTGGTCTAGCCAAGAATCATCTACCATGTGAAAAAGAGCGACTACCCTCTGTAGCATCTTAATTACAAAATAATAGTATATATGGTGATAATTGCCATATTAAATTATACACATGAATATAAACATTTTTTAGCTTTTTAGTTCTCATAATATAAATTTTGAAGAAAAAAAAACAATTTGCCATTAAATGATATAAGGACCTATAAACATTTCTAGATCCATACCTAATTATATTTTCACAGGTCATGTATTTAAGTATACTCATTAAATTGCCCTAAAAATAATTTTTAAACAAATTTATAAATAAGAAAATTTTGAAATACAATTTTGAATTAGTTGATTAAAATAAATTAAGTTATAGAAATGGGGAAGTTATTTGATCACAAAAACTAAACTTAAAAATCTTAAACTATAAATAAAGTGATAATTATATGAAATTATTATAAAATTATTTACAAATATCCTCATTTTAGTACACATTAAATGAATGTGAGGAAATACATAATAAATTTATATTCACGAATTCTTAACTACACATTTATAAATATTTGTTTAAAATTATTCGCCTAATTCATATAATAGAAGTAATTCATTTTAATTTAATTCACCCAACTACATGAGCTTTCCAAGAGTTTCTTTATTATATTTAAGTAATTTAAAATAAAATACCATATTAATAATTATTATTATTAATATATTTATTTCATTTTATTTTAATTTTCAACCAATAAATCTATAAAGATTGTAATTAAGTAATTTATAATAAAAAGTGATTTTATACATTTATTATAATAATACTTTAATAAAGTATAATTTTCTATACAATGCATACAAATAAAAATTATACAACCTTAATTCTAATTGCATTGATTGTACATGAACTTTAAATATTCCGACTACATTAGTGAAGAAAATACAGAATATTTAAAGTTTATTGAAAAAATTAAAAAGTTATTTAAGAATTTTTATTATTTCTTTAGTACCTTAGCTTAATTATGAAAAACAATATGATTTTTTTTAAACAAATTATATATATATATGTAAAGAATAATTAAATAATATTTTGACAAAACTAATAACTTTTAATCCAGCATTTAATTTGTGTTAGTTTTATTTTTAAATAATTTTTACAGTTTTGCACTTTTGTTATGTTCATTGCATATTTATTATTTTTCTTTAACAATTAAAAAAATTACAATTTTAAATTTTATCAACATTTTATAGTAACTTTAAGAGAAATATTAATTGAGCTACAAGCTCTATATACATAGACTGAGTATGTAACAAGACAGAGTGCACATACACCAGTATACGCCCATGCTACATATCCATACTACATATTAAAATGCTTGTAACTCAATGAATACTTTACTTAAAATTTGTATAGAACCATCAAAATTTTTTATAAGAAAGTATAAAAAATAATTATTATAAAATGTTAAAAAAGTATATTTTTTTTATCTTATTAGAGACAAATAATAAAAAAATATGATTTTTACATAGTCCAAAACTGTAAAAATTATTTTTAAAAAAAAGTAAATACTAAATCAAAAGTTATTAGTTTTTTCAAGATATCGTGAACCACCCAATATTTAACATTAATGTTAAATTTTTAAAATGATATGCTAAAAATCTTAAATTAGATAATTTGAATAAAAATATGTTGATATTATACCAAATAATCTCCTTCCTCGCCTTATCCCAACTACTTGGGCTGGCCACCCTTTCCTAAACTTCCACTTGACACGATTTCCCACATCCTCTACGCTCTCATCACCTGTCCTCATATCGCATTCAATAACATCTCTCCATCTCTTTTTTGGTCTTCCTCTACCTCTTCTTCCTTCAACATTCATTTTTATAACTGTTTTTACGACTTCTGATTCTTCTCTTCTCATAACATGACCAAACCATCTAAGTCTATTTACTCTTATCTTATCTACGATTGACGCTACAATATTATACCAAATAATAAAAACTAAAATTAAAATTTGGAAAGAAATAATTCATATATTATCAAATAGGTAGATACATTTATGGTATGTTAATAAGGAGAATGCACTAGCTTAATAAACAAATATATCAGTGAAACTCCTCAAACAACATAGATTTTTCTTTAAAAATATATTATAATACATGAATCACTAAACAATAACACAAGAAAATTTAAGCAATTCTTCAACAAATAAAAGATTTTTTCTGTATATTTATTTATAATAAATTTCAAAAAGTTATAACAATATAATTTAAAAACGAATAAACTATTAATATAAATAATTTAATTGGCTTTGTTCAAAAACAAAATAACTCTATTTTTTTTTGACGAAAATGGTGAATATATATATGTATATTAAATAAAAAAAGTTACAATAAATAATTAGAAAAACAGTGTTTTTTTAATTTACTAGTATATTTTAAAATTGTCTAGTTTTATCAACTTTCAGAAAAATTTTTAAAAATTAAGTTATCTTGATTTTACATAGAGCCTTTTAATTTACCTTGCTTATAGTAAAAAAAAAACAGAACTTGTATAAACCTATGAAATATGAGAGAAAAACTTGCATCAAAATTATAATTTCATATTTTTTACATTTGTTAAAATGATTTTAACAAATGAATAAAATGATTCATTTTTTTTTATTATATATAAAATTAGTCTAAAATATAGTTTTTCATAGAAAAAAATTATTTTATAGTCATTATATGTTTAAATAATGATTGCATATGTAAAATACTTAACCAATTTCAATAAATATTTAAAAAAGTTGCTTACCAAAATTTGGTAAATTTCTGTTGATTGATAAATACTGTTCAGACTTTTTTCTTTATTATATCTTAGTTGATATTATTCAATAGTTCAACTACATGATTCTCAACAGTCAAATTTTCCTATAAAAAAGAATAACATAAATTACTTATAATTAATTAATTTAACAATGTTAAAACTCAGAAATAATTTTTGATAATGGTAGATGAGATATGATATTAATACTATTTTTAAATACTTTATAAGATTAACACCAATACTTCAAAAAAATAACTTAATTACTGTAACAATAGTATTTAAGTATTTACTAAAAATATCATCATATAATCAGTACTTTTTGGAATGTTTAAGCTGATATATGGGTAAGATGAAACTTTATATTTACAATAGAAGCCAATATTATTTAAATATAACTGTTATAACTCACCAGAAAAGTTTTTCGCATACTAGTCAGATCAATGAATTAAGAATCAATAAATTTATTTACTTTTTTAATGTACTAAGTTAAAATATTCAAAGGCACGACCGTCGAGGTGTTTGTTTGACACGTAAATTAAAGATAACTTACACGATCAGTCTTTTAGTCGAAAATTCCTTCAATCTAAGAATAAAAATCGTAACAGTATGTTAAAAAACAAAATTTTATCCAAAAACGACAAGTGTTAAACCAAAGGGGAGGCTGCGAGTTTTCAGCTGCCGGTAGAAGGAACACTCACCGATACTACACACGCCCCAGACTATGAGGACACATACGGCCCATCCCTTATATCATAGAAAAAAGAAAAACCTCCCTTAAACCTTACAACAGGATACAGAACTACCGTCCAGCCCAATATAATATGATCGATTTTTGGTTCGCATTTCATGGAAAAAAAAATGTATTAAAGGGTGGCGCTGAAATGGGGTAAGGACCGCCTAAACTACTATTATTCAAAAACTACTCAATATTAGTAAGTACCTATACAAGATTATTGTAGACTTTCATCATTTCCACATTAATAAAAAAAAAAAATTTCACTGAATATTATGAACACTAATAATCTTATCAATACCATATTAATTTTAAAATATGATACATTCGTAATAGTTATGTACTATGTTATACGAAATAATTTTTAATTGATAAACTATCTGATATACCATTAATGTTTTGTTCGTTTGACTTATGTTTGATAAACAATATCTGGAATGATTTCATATTTTAAAATCGGTTGTTTTATTTTTATGTATAATGACGCCTACCCAACCAGCTGTTTTTAATTAAAAATTGTCACTGATTTAGAAAATAAATATTGAAAACTGAATAACTTTTTAAGTATATATGTAATATGAATTTTCTTTATCAATTCAATGTTTTACAACTATACTCAGTATATTATATTACTTAATTATATATAGTAATAGTTAACATAGTGTACGAGTACGTTACATAAAAGGTACCTATCTCAATCTTAGGATCAACCTTTGTAACGATTTTTTATTCTGTTAATTATAAGTATAACTAAGTATTATGAAAGAGTTACACTGTAACCGCAATTGGGGTGAGGGAATGGGGGTTGATGCCGAGAACAAAAAAAATTACATGGTGAGTATACTCTTTTTTTTTTTTTTTTTAATTTATAGGAGTATTAACATTTCTTTTTGTCAATTCCCCGGAACAAAACCCTAACTACGCCACTAATGTGGCACATGACCAAAGCGCACTCTATGGGATAATTTTTTTTATTGGCAACACCAAACTTTTACAGAATGCGAGTTAGACTAGAATACTATTTTTAAAGGAAGTGAAAATACAAATCCTCACATTAAGAATGATATCTTTATTAGTAATTTAAAAGGTTTTAGGGTGGTTCACGATTATCTACTCGTAGATAACGGAGGCGGATTCAGATATGTATTTTGGAATTTAAATTCCAATAAACTTTCAAAAAACATTCATTAAATAAGGAACGTTCGAATAAACTCATGAACGTAAAAAAAAATATCAATTTAAATTTGAACCATAAAACCATATGATTGTTGATTTTCAAATGATCAAAAACAATGTTAAACGCATACACACTTTTTATAAACTATAATATATATTTCAGTTTAAAGTTATAAAAGTTCGAAATACTACGGTTAACTTCAAGGATCTCAAAAACCGAGAATTAGCTACTTGGTTTTAGGCCCTTTGTTAAAAAAACGTCCCCTTGTCCTAATTTCATTAGCAATATATTTAATAAAAAGATAACTTATTCTAAATCAATGCATTTTTACTTTACTCTTAGAATTATTTAAAACATACAAAAAACTGCCCCTTCGCATGAATTATGGAATTAGAGCTCGAGCCCTAAATCATAAATACAATTACTTGAGTCGTCTTCTTCCTGGCCTTAATCCCAACTACTTGGGGTCGGCCAAATACAACTACAAGAGTAATATTTTTTTTATAAATTATAATAAATAATATTAATTTTTTAACAAACATACTATATAAAAGCCCAAAACACATGTCCCCCACTAACGTTTCTGAATGAAAGAATTTTTAACCTCAGTGACCTATTATATTAAATTTACTTGGTCGTATTAATTTAGTATAACATTAAAAAAATGTATACTTTACAAAGCTAATTCTAAATTTAAATTTAAACCAATAATATCACTTTAATTTAAACAATTAAATTAATGTTTTTCCATTTAGAAAAGTGAATATTTCTTTTGCTGAATAAAATAATATAATAAATACAGTCGTGCTCATGCCAATAATTAATAGAACTTAATGTAGAGAAAATTCAAACCTACCTATAACAAGATTAGTAATAATAAGAACTCGAGAAATAGGCAAAAGGGTAAATGGACTACGTTTCCTCAAAAATTTTCTTTTCTTACTTCAAACCCTTATCAATCAAATTATTCAATAAATAATTATATGTATAATATTTTATAATATAATATCAATAAAATTACATAAAAAAATCTTAATGAAGAACATTTTATAATTATTATAAATATATCAATGTCTAAAATTAAGTTTTACAATTAAATTTTACTATGCTAATATAAAATAATAAGGAAGACATATTGTTGGGTTTAATTAACAATTATATATAATATATATATATAGTCAAAAATCAATAAAAAAATATTTTATAGTAACTAAAGAAACATTTTTTAAAAGTTTCTCTTTCATCTTATTAATGGTTTTATTATTATCATTATATATGATGCNTATTAATGGTTTTATTATTATCATTATATATGATGCTCAAAAATATTTAGAGGTATATTAATTTACCTAATACATATCTTATTAATCATGTTAATTTATACATTAAAAATATTCATAAATACTTATTTATAGTATACTTTTATACTTTTAAGAAATTTGAAGCCAAATTACACTTGAATTAGATGCAACAGCAATAATTCTGTAATTTTTATAATCCATAATTTCTAATGAGACTATTTGTCCAATACTCAAATGTTCCTCTAACAATTTATTATTTGTTTGAAGACATTCAAAATCTTTTATATTGTTTAAACGATACACTAATAAATAACTATTTCGTGTACCAACAAATAACATATTAGTGTAAACACATATAGCAGTAGCTTCAATATATTTTGTTTCCAGCCAAGGGCAAATTGTTTTACATGTATCTCTATACATATCATGACATATTAAACCATTGTTATTTGTACGCCCAATTACAAGTCCATGTATAACTGAAGAATATATAGTATACTTCAATTTTGTACAAGTATGTTCTGTTATCAATTTCTGTTTATGATGTGAAAAACAGCCATACCATGATTCACGTATCCAGCAACATCTTGCAATATGAAGATTTGTATCTACATCAAGAAGTTTACCACTATACTCTATTGATAACCCATTATGACCTTCATATAAAGCTAATTGTATAGGACATATATTTGGACCATTAGAGTTGCAAGCTATCACATGATTTTCATTTGAACAATCAGGCTGTGGATTTAATATAATTAAACTATTTATACGATGTGACTTTGAATCTTCTTTTACAATTGAAATAATTTCAGATTTATCATTCATAGTGAGACAATATAAATTTTTATATTTTGGTGAAATGATTTCAAAATAATTTTGGAAATTTATAAGCTTACAAATACCATCTCCAGCCAAAAAATGCTCTTCTCCAACATGAGATACTTTAAATTTTTGTTTTTGCCATAATAGCCAACATTTAAATAAACATTCAAAATCTGATTCTGTAAGTAAATCAATACATATCAAACCATGTTTTCGTTTTCTCAACATATCTAATAAATAATTTCTTGAAATTTCACTAAAACAAATTTTTTTCCAAAGTTTATTATACTTAACCACATTATTAATAATATTATAACAATCTTTGGAGAGAAGTTTGAATTCTAGTAAAGTTTTTCCATCAAGATGATACACTATTTTTTCAATAATTTCTGGAGGAAGATTTATTTTAGTGTAATTGTCTTGTATTTCATTTCTATTAAAGAAATGTTCATAATTAAAATTAAGTTATAAATCTAAAAAATTTTACACACTACATCTCTTAAGCAGTAGAGTGATGTATTTGATATTTTGTCATAAGGGTAAAATATACATAGGGTTGAAGTAAAAGCCTAAGAATTGAGGTGAGTGCTTTAAGTATTATTATAAAGAGAGCCCAAAAAAAGTTGAAAACTATTATTGCACTGATGAGAATAAAATGGCAATTACTCAACAAATCAAAAATTTTTTTTTTATAAAAGGTGCATATATTTTCATTTTCTTCAAGCAAAACTGCTAATTTCTGCTTTGAATAAACATGATTTATTCCTATTATCCCAAAAAAACGAAACCAGTAAGTCTCAGAGAGTTAGTAAATATAACAAAACTAAATAAAAATCTCATATTTAAATTTATTTACTATTATACTTTCACATACTTTTATACTAGTAAGCATGTACACCTTTTCACAAATATATTACTATAGCAGACACTAAAAAAACAACTTCAAAGAATTAAAAATAAATACAGAGTGTTTTTTTTTATTATAACCCACTATCTGTCACCTATATATAATGAAATTAATTTAATAGGACAGAGTGGGTTTTTATTAGTGCCCAAAAAAGAGACATAATGTGAAGTTATATAAATTAAAATAAATATTACTCTGATATTTCTTTATAAAATATGTGATTTCTTGTTCCATCAACTTCAGTCCAGACTTTAACTTTCTTAGAATTCATTTTATAATTTATTAAATCAAACTTTTAATATTAATTATATTTTTATCTGAAATCCAATAAAAAAAAAAACTCAGTTCTATAAATAAATTGCTTAAATTATCACAAATTAAAATTTTGCCTAAATGGTTACATACATTTATGAAATTAATTAACTGTTGTTTAAAACATTAATGTAGTTGCTTACTTTAATGAAAAACGGAGTTTTTTGAAAATTAAAAATTAAAACACATTAAGACCATGTCCAGGAGGGAAGAATAGTGATAGTTTCCTCTATGATGTAAATAATCTTGAGTTAAAGATTGGTCAACAAATTTTCTTTGATATCAATTCTTGATAGTGTTGCTGGATTTGTAAATGGCACATTAATTTAGTTTAGATCTAAGATATGGTTTTTATCTATGAATAAAAAAAAATTAATACTGCGACTCTAGTAAAAGTCATTACATTCATTATATGGCAAGGTAACTAAATATAAAAATAGACATTCCATAAAACTGTATGATAATTATATTTTTAAAAATAGTTTACTGAAAAATCATCTATTTTGTGTTAGAACTTTTTCATTCTTAGGTAACATCTTTGCTCTAGGGAGTTTTTATATGGAAACCCTTGTATATGCTCCTCTGTAAGAATAATTATAGAGATTACGAAAAGTTGGATTTAGGCTAAAGAATAATAAGAAAAACTAAGTGTAAACATTTTTTAACTAAATAAAAAAAAATGAATTATTTATCATTTTTCATTTTAGATAATAACATCCAATAGTAACATAACAGTAACATCTACAAGATACATAAAAGATTAGTGCACTATAGATTTTAAAAGTAGAAAATTGTTTTGTACCTTGAAGTAAGTTATATAATTGAGTAGAAATTTTTCCTGATTTAAATAAGACTAAAAAAAATGTTAAAACGATAAAAATCACAAACACATTAATTTTTTCAACATATTGATAGACTTAGAAGTTATTAAAAAAAAGCAGAACACTTTTTATCAGTTAAAATGTTTAAATATAAGACTATATTATTGTTCCATGGAAAACGTATTTTTTTTAAATTCAACATTTTTTCTGTTTAAGTATATTTAATTATTGTTATGGACAAATGTGTCGTGAATACAATTTATCAAGCATATACGTTTCTTATAATAAATTTGAATTCATTTAACGCTTAACATATAAACTTTTTTTGTAAAATAACATTAGATAAAACTTGAATAACTTATGCATCAAAAGAAAACTGTATTTTAATTTAATTTTCATTATAATAACAAATAATTTAAAATAATTTATTGATAACAAATATGTAAAGACATGTACCTTTAGTAAAACTTTGTTTAATGATTTATCATAGATTCAAAATTGAATTATTCGTTATACGCATAGATAATAATTTTTCAATATCTGTATTCGGTTAGACAGACAGTCTGTATAACCGCGGTCACATGTTATTTGGTACTTTATATGATAATAGGTAGTGGTCAGTATATAGCTAGAGATACCAAAGAATTTGTAATACCTTATCTATTTTGTGGTAAAACTAATAACTTAATACAAAAAGGTGCTTAAAGCACTTACAGATGAAAAAATTTGCTTTATAAAAATTATGTATGATACATAAAAAAAGGTAATACTCATAGACCACCACATCTCACTTAGTTGATACCAAAAAATTTTTTAAATTATTATACTTATTAAAATAATTGTTTATCAACTAATTTGGTTGATTAATTTTGAATTACGATAAAGTTACAAAATGTTGATTTTGTTAATTGCGGTTTAAAATGGTATTAATGGTTGCCATTTAACTTCCAACAAAAGTTTTTTTAAATATTTTAAAATTATAATTTTGATTACTACAATTAATAATAATTTAATGACCAAATATAAAATTGAGTTGTAAATTTTTGGTGGTTATTAATTTTTAAATTATGAACTACTAAAATCCTCCTAGTACTCCTTTATTTGCCCCTATGTTTTCTGTCCTGTGATTGATGTACAATGATACTAGGGTATTTAAAATATTTTTAGGCATCTAATATTAGTTTATCAAAATGTAATTAAAAAAAAAAACGGTAGCACAGTGGGGTCGAGGCACAGTGTGGACGAGGCATAGATGGGACAAGTATAGATGATAT